TGCAGTTAGAGAATTTCTTTACTCATTATTTTATGATGTCTGGATTGACCCGAATAATGCATTGCCCTAGTGAGGATTTGGGACTTCTGGCGGCCTCTTGCCTGCTTTATAGAAACGTATTATCTTACCAGGAACACCATATTTTTCTCGCAAATGGCCAGGAAGGCGTATGCCCAGCGATGGTGTTGAAAAAGCCAAGAATCTGCAGATTGCATGGCTACCCAGAGAGAAGGTGGAATTACAGCTTTAATAAATAAATTTCTGCCCTCAGACCCGACAAATTCTGCAGAAGTTTACGAGAATATAAAGGCACTGCAATAAAGAACATACATTGTCACTTTGGTTTCCTAGAACAATAAAAACAGAGTTATAAAGCCACAGGACTGTGAGGTAGAAATGACCCAAAAAACCTCTTTGATAAATTGAAATCCGTTTGCTGGGCACCCAAGAAATGGGAAGTTGGGCTTAGTGGATCTGGAAAATAGTTCCACATTTGGGGGCCTCTACTTAAAAGGCCTTTTCCTGTCTCATCCTATTGCCTGGAGAATATCTTCGGATAGCCATGATTTATAGCCAGGGGAAGAAGCAAAAGCCGTAGTGGCATTGATGGTGTTACCTAGTTTGGTAATAAAACGTCTTCAAGAAAACCACCATTCTCAGAGAGCACCAAGGACCACATAAAAGCTGAATTAAATGATGGGTGCAGTTTCTTATTAAATTAAAAAACGTTCAATTGGTCCAACCCCTTGTGGATATTATGCCTTGCATAGAAGACCTATATTCAGGTACTCCTCAACGTACAACAATTCATTTAGTGTCCATTCGTAGTTACAATGGCACTGAAAAAAGTGACTTAGGACCAGTTTTCAGACTTATGACCATTCTGGCATCCCCATGGTCATGTGATCAAAATTCAGGTGCTTAAATGACTCCTACTTATGATGGTTGGAGTGTTGGGATAGGTCTTAATTTCAGGGAAATGCGGTGTGTGTGTGTGTGAGACATGACCCGGGGCATGGCACAAAAGCAACAAAGTCACAAAAGTAGGTAAAGTATCTTTAATACCTCTAATTTGGCCCCCAATGTCCAGTTATCATTGGCTGGAGACAAAACTCTCCCAAGAACAGTTTTTAAAGGGAAGAAATTCAGTCCGAACCCAAAGTACATCTAAATTATAAATAAAAACCAACACAAACCACGCTGCAGCAATTAACGAGACAGGGCAGGATAAGGAATTGCAGACTTCAAAAGATAACGAAACACACACAATTGGGAGGACGCCAGAACCCAGATAAGACGTAACAAACAAAGATACTTCACGCTTTGCTTCCAGCAAGGTGCTGTGCGCAAACACCCTTTTAAAATCCTGTTTTCCCAGCTGCAACTAATGAAGGAAATCAGGGCCCTTTTCTCCCCCGTAACCCACATTGCTCCCTTATCCATTCCTCCCTGCGTGCCCAAGGATGAAGAGGGAGTGGCCCTGGGTCTTCCTCTGAATGCCCAGTCGGACTGTGCCTTCCCCAGTTTCTTCCACAGCCACCGGAGCCACACTCCCTATCAGCTGCTCCACCTCCCCCTCAGAATCAGATTCCAACAGGGGCATGACAGTGTGTTTGTGGGCACACAGGTGTGTATAAACTCAATAAGGTTGTGGCTGCAATAGTATTATTAATGCCTTTATTATTTTTTACTTTCCTCTTTTATTGGCTGTATTCTTCTTCTTATATTTTATTGTTTTGCAAGTACACTGAATGTTTCTGTATCGGACACAAATACCTTGTGTGTCTAACCACACTTTGCCAAATAATAATAAAGTACTGGTAGTCCTTGACTTACAACAATACATTTAGTAACTGTTCAAAGTTAAAACAGCACAGAAAAAAGTGTCCTATGACTGTTTTTCACACTTACGACCATTGTAGCATCCCCACGGTCACTGGATCAAAATTCAGAGGCTTGGCAACTGTCTCATATTTATGACGGTTGTGGCGTCCCTGTGTCCCACGACAAGCAAAGTCAACGGGGAAGCCAGATTTAATTAACAACCCCGATACTGGCTTAAATCTGCAGCGATTCACTAAACAACCCTGGCAGGGAAGGTGTGATGACCCAGGGTGGGATACAAAAGCAACAAATTCACAAAAATAGGTGAAGTTCCTTTAATTCCTTCAACTTGGCTTCAAAGGTCCAATTATAACAAATAACAGATAATCAGAGTTGGAAGGGACCTTGTAGGTCATCCAGTCCTACCCCCTGCCCAAGCGGGAGACCCTACACCATTTCTGACAAATGGCAGTCCAATCTCTTCTTGAAAGTCTCAAGTGATGGCGCTCCCACAACTTCTGAGGGCAAGGTGTTCCATTAAAACAGGAGCTGGCTTCCCTTCCTCTGTGTTTCCAGTTGGATTCCTCCTTTCTAACCAGCAGCATCTTCACTGTATCCCCCAGCTATATTTGATGTCCTATTGGGGATCTGCCCTCAATCTGGAACACCAGTTCATCAATTATAGTGGGAGTCTCCTGTGATGATCCAGGCTGGGATACAAAAGCAACAAAGTCACAAAAATAGGTGAAGTCCCTTTAATTCCTTCAATTTGGCTTCAAAGGTCCAATTATCATTGACTGGAGAAAAAACTCCCCCACAAACAGTTGCGAAAAGGAAGAACTTCCCTGTTCCAACTCAAAATACGTATAAATTATAAATAGAAAAAACAACAACACAAACCACACTGAAGCAATTAGTGAGACAAGGCAGGATAAGGGCTTGAAGACGTCCACAGATATCGAAATACACACACTGGGAAGGACGCCAGAACTCAGATAAGAACTGACAGACTAGAATTATTTCACGCTTTGCTTCCAGCACTGGGCCATGCGCATTGTCCTATTTAAACAGTCCTCAGAGCTACAGCCCACGAAGGGGATCAGGACCCTTTCCTCCCCCATAGACCACACCATTCACGTTTCTCCCTTATCTGCTCCTCCCTGCGTGCCCTAGGATGAAGAGGGGATGGGCCTGGGTCTTCCTCTGAATGCCCAGCCGGCCTGAGCCCTTCCCCAGTTTCCTCCACAACCTCCAGAGCCACACTCCCACTCCCTGTCGGCTGTTCCTTCTCTCCCTCGGAGTCAGACTCCAACAGGGGCATGGCAGAAGGTCATAAAACGGGGCCCAAATTCACTGAACAAATATTTTGCTTAGCTACATCCATTTTGAGCTCCATTGCTCTGAAAAGAAACGCTCTTAAAAGAAAACCAGGCCTTTTATTTCTAAGTTCCACTTTTTACGGGGCCCAAGAAGGAGAAGCATTGAAGCAAGTGAGAAGTTAACGAAGCTCTGGACATTTTTCTTTTGTCTGAGGAAATGGGCTTTAAAATGGCAAAGAGCAAAATGTGCAAGGGAGCGTAAAGTGTAAAATATGAGGGCAAAAATATCTAATGGCACAAATGAGCCGACAGGTATTGGAGTGACGGTAACCAAGAAAGTATAGCTCAGTGCAAAGACAGATTCAGCTATAAGGGAAAAACAAGAAAAACCAACTTCCCACTCAGAGATCGTTAGAAAAGAATCGTTATAGGTAGTCCTTGACTTACAACGATGTTTCTTTACCTTAGCAACTTTAATGTCAACTCCTAAAATATTTCTATTGTCTTTTTAGAGTTGCCAACAGAAAGGGAGGGGGAAGCAGTGCGGCAGCTTGCATTCCATAAATGTTTTCAAAGAAAGCTTCTAGGTGACTGAAGTTTCTGCCGTGCAAAATTCTAACTGGAGAGCATGATTGATGACTCTTGGCTATGGATGTGTCCCATTGGAGAATATGTCTTGTGATACACCCAGGCAGTGCCAGCATGTTTACTCCTAATAAATCTTTTTTAAGTTTTGGAAGTTCGGCTCGAGACTCATGATTTAAATGGGGGTAACGGCCAGAGCCCTGACAGCTAGCCAACTCTGAGACACATCATTCCTTGTCATCCTTGACCCTGGTTTCTCCCCCACCCCCCGGGTGTATCGTAATTCATATATTCTCCAGTGGGACACATCCATAGCCCAGAGTCATCAATCGTGTTCTCCAGTTAGAATTTTGTGCGGCAGAAACTTTGGTCACCTAGCTGCTATTCTTTGAAAACATTTATGGAATGCACTTTCGGTTTGCAAGCTGCCGCACTGCTCCCCCCTCCCTTTCTGTTGGCATCTCTAAAAAGACCAGAGAAATATTTTATGTGTTGACACGGTCACTAAATGAACTGTATAGCGTATAGTGGGTTTATTTGTGGTTTTTTAGCCTTTCTCTCTAAATAAAATTATAACAGTATGATAGATGTATACAGATAGTCCTTGACTTACAACAGTTCATTTGGTGACTGTTAGAAGTTACAGTGGCCCTAAAAAATTAGAATAGAATAGAATAGAATAGAATAGAATAGAATAGAATAGAATAGAAT